GAAAATCGGATGCAGTGTGAATCCACCATAACTTCGTTGCTCTCGACTCCTCTCCGACCCGCCGCGACGACCAATCAATTCACTACTAGAAAAGAAGAGAACTACTCCGCGCGACTGTTTCTTCCTCTTTCTATCACGTCTTTAGCTTCTCTCGTACGAATGCTCCGTCTATCTTATAAGTCCATGAGGCCGACCTGATTCCGTTCTCAGTCGCGTTGCGTTCGCTATGGCGGTAGTTTAAGTTTTATTATCGTCGTTCTTCCAAAACTTTCTCAATCAATTTCACATTCTGCTGCAGTGCCAGTGACTGTGAAAGAATTTAGCCCACGCACATTAAATTAACCCCAATTTTAATTTCATCTTTCTTCCTCGCATATCTCACTGGTAGAAACGCAAGAAGTCGTAAGGTCAAGCGCAGTTCCTAGTTTGTAGTGAAAGTGTTCACGTTCCTCGACCTAATTAGAGTATCTCTCAGATTTCCTCCATGTCCCTTCTTCCATTGTTATTTCTCTAACTTGATGTCTTGTATCTAATAACACCTAATACATTCCAAAGTTCAACGCTCGACTATACCTGGTGTTCAAAACGTAACGATGAACGGCGATAAAAAATGTGATGTAATACGAGTTGGATCTCGGAAAAGCGAGGTGAGTGCACGTTTTCTTTTTTTTTTTATTCGGTTTTTTAATTTTACAAAAAAAAATATTTTTTTGAAAAACCGCAAATCGCATTCTCGAACTTCTTGGCAAATTTTTGTTTATAAACACGACAGCTTTTCAGCGTGTAAATTATATAAAGATTATTATGTAAAGAATGATTTCCGTTCTCTTTTGGTAAGAAGACTCGGATTACAAGTCATCTCTTATCGATGACAATTATTAATTTTATGTAATCACTGCTGCGCGTCTACTGTTCTCGTACATATCTCTGGCGTAAGATTACTCAGCTATTTTAAAAATTTTTTTTACTTATCGTCAGTGATGATGACTAACGATAATTCGATATTTAAATAATCGATACTTATATAAAAAAAAGTATTAGGATTACAAAGTGATTTTTTATATATAATTAAAATGTTAATTTAGAAAATAAACTACTCTGTTATACAATTTTATATATTATACATGCAATTATATTTTTTTTCATTGTATTTTATTACATGAAACAAAGAGGCATGTTTTTTTTACTTATAGAACGTGAATAATGTATTTTTTAAAACCTTTTAGTTGGCCTTGATACAAACTAAACACGTAATACAATGTTTGATAAAAATTAATCCAAAAAAAGAATTTGAAATAGGTAAGCAGATTATACAACTGCATGCACTATTCGCTGTTATGTTAGTTATTCTTCGTGTAACTTCAATGAATTTGTTTTGAAGAAATTTAAAAGTTCAATATCAGATTTCATAATTTTTCAGTATCACACATGATAATCTCGCAACTTCTTCCCTTCTTTGACCACATATCTCTATATAATACATTTGAAATACCGATAATTGCAGCTTTTTCTTGTTATACATTGAATGACTGGCATATAATGAAATGTTCTTTATCATATATATTTTGTCAATAAAAGAACTTGTATATATCGAACTTGTATTTATCAAATTGAAATTAAATTGCAGTAACGATGAATACTAAAGGAGATCAGATTCTAGATAAGTCTTTACCAAAGATCGGGGAAAAATCCTTGTTTACCGAAGAGTTGGAACTAGCTTTAGAAAATGGTAGCGTTGATTTCGTCGTGCATTCATTGAAAGATTTGCCAACAACACTGCCGGCAGGAATGGCTCTAGGTGCAATATTAAAGTAAGTTCCGTCTAACATATAATATTGAACGTCATAAAATTCGAGCTGTTTTCTTTTTAAATTAACTGTGATACTACACATTCGTTTAGTTGCTTCTCGTCAGCAAGAGCTGACTTTGCTATTTTGCATATCAATGCTCCAATATGGAGAACACATTTTAAATTTAAATGCAGACACGTACGCTATTGTTCTTATGTAAGAAACATCTTGTATTCAGTTTTATCAATTCTGATTAACTTCTAAATTATGTTTACTTTTACTATTAAAATAATTATAATTATTTTTTGCAAATAGACAGTTTTTCATAATACTATACATTTGAGTTAATAATTTTGGCATTGACTTGCATGTTATCAATATATAATTATATATACTCGTATATTAACTTAAATGTATAGTATTACGAAAAATTGTTTACTTGCAAAAAATCAATTCTTTATAAAAAAAAAAACTGGTATTTAATAAATTAAACTACAAAAAATTAATATGCATTAATAATGTCAATAAATAATATATTTTTGTAGACGCGAGGATCCCCGCGATGCAGTGGTCATATCGAAGAAATTTAAAGATAAAACGTTAACCACATTACCGAAGGATAGTGTAATAGGTACTAGCTCTTTACGTAGATCCGCTCAATTATCACGGAACATGCCGCACTTAAAGATAGAGAACATTCGCGGTAACTTGAACACTAGATTAAAAAAACTAGACGATGAAAATGGCCCCTACGCCGCGATCATATTAGCTGCTGCTGGTTTAAAACGGATGGGCTGGGAAGACAGGATAAGTCAAGTATGATCTTTTATCTTATATTCCACTTTGGTATTCTGCAAAATTTATTTAGATTAATATATGTATTCTTTTAGCTTTTAGAACCCGAAGAAGCTCTTTATGCTATCGGTCAAGGTGCATTGGGTGTTGAATGTCGAGAGTCTGATTGGAAAATACGTTCAATTTTGGAACCATTGTTTGATTTGGAAACCACATTGACATGTGTGTGTGAGCGTTCATTTCTAAAAACTCTTGGTGGTGGATGTTCCGCACCAGTCGCGGTATCTTCATCTTTGAAGAAGAACGAATTAACGATTACTGGTGCTGTATGGTCTTTAGATGGTCAAACTCTGATTACAGATACTTCTAAAAGCAAACTATATTTACCCAACGATGATGGTGAGCCTCCTCGGTGAGTTAAATATGCTTTTTTAATATTAGAATATTTTTGAACAGGATTGAACATGCTGATGTCAATGCTATGTTATCAATGAATATCTTTGAACATATTGCATATTTGATTTATTTTATATTTAATTTGATTTACCTTTTTTTTTCTCTTATGATAGGAAATGCCCATATCAGGAACCCCGCCTTTATTGCAGCGTTATTTCTAGTTATAAAATAAGTAGTATAAGTCTTCTTGGTGCAGAACTTCTTGGTAAAGATTTGGCTAAGAGTCTTATAAAGAAAAATGCTCTCGATGTAATGTCACAAGCTAGAAATGAAATTTTAGATTCAAAATAATTGTGTCAAATATGATTTGTATTTGATTTCTAGTTGAAAACACATAGAGGATGTATATTAATGTAAAATGACAATTGTTAATAATTTCCCAATCTTTCAATGTCTTACAACTATGAATATCCATTATACATTTCTATTGATACATGCTCAAGATAGAAAACAATTGAAGTACAAATCATATTATTTTTTGTACTGTTGCTATTCTCTCTCTGCTTTTGCATATGTCGTACACATTTTATTTATTCTGTTTGATGATTCAGGAAAAGTACAAAGTAATTGTAATTATAACAGTGAAAAACATTGGAAATAATATAAAATATATAGTACAAATTACTGAAATTCTCATATTGATATCTTTACGTTCTGAACAAATTGTGCTCACGAGTGATGTGAAGATTATTATTGTTATATATGTTCAAATGTATGGTTATTTAAATCGATCAGGTCAGCCGTTATTGAGATCTGATAATCTCAATCTGCCGCAACTCGCCGGTTCGCGTAAAGTATCCACGGCAGTGTCACTGCGCTTTGGCTTAGCGCCGAGACACTACCGTGTCTCCAGATAATCCCTAATTATTGTTCACAAAACAAATTGTTATATAGAAATTTTATTATTGAAAATAAGTTGTAAAACACTGCCATGTATAGGTCAACAACAATTAATATCATGTATATAATTCCGTTTATATTAAATAGATTACAATAATCAAGTTTTGTACATGCACAATTTATGAACTCATGAGTATATGTGTACATAATTTGATTCTGTTGACTTTTGGGTCTTATTTTAATAAATTAAATCGATTTTTTGTTTTACATTTTGAGGCATTATTAACACTATAAAATTACAAGGTATCAAGCAAAAGCATTGTGTAATTTCATTGTTCATAATTGAATTTTTCGTCTATTATTTATACATATGCCGATAAAGAGATGTTCTTGTGTAAAATATATGTATATGAACAGAATTTTTTGTAATATGTGAATATGATTACATGTGGGAATTATTAAAGCTATAATGGAAGAAATTCATATATAATGCTATTATATGTAAATAAAGAAGTTTTTTATTTTATGTCGATTATCTTATTTCAAATAATTTAATGTAAGAGTGTTTAACATAAATATTCTTTAAAATTGCACGCAGTAAATATATTTTTTATTTATGTTTATTTCTTTATTTTATGCTCATTTGATAGGATTCCAAATATCGCTTCTATAAGAATATAATTTTTTCAAAAATTATGTATTGTACATCTTTGAATTGTTATTATATGTATAGAGAGAGAAAGTTAAATATCTTTGGATATATAACAATATACATCTATATTTTCAAAATAATTTCTAGAGCTTATAGCATTTATATAGCGAATTAGATTTTATCTACAAAATACATATATATTTCTGCGTAAATTTATAGCGACACACATCATAAGATTTACAATAATCTTCCAATTGTATATACTTTCATAAATGCTTCCAGAATATAATAATGTACCTGAGCAGGTAAATTTTCCATATTTTTATAATAAATGTGCATATATTGGATATCAACATTATAACTTAGATGATTACAATCATTGAACGAGATTACAATTGGATCTGTAGATTGTGGTGTTGTACAAGTCACTTTTCCACATTTACTACACCAAAGTAAGGCAACGTATATGCTTATTATTATTGCAAATGTGATAGTGACAGCGTATTGAACACAGCTAATCAAAACGTGTAATAAATATACTAATTCATTTTATTAGCGTCAATTCCTGAACACACAAATGACACATATTGCTCAGAATCGGATTAAAGCTATATGTAATCTGTTAGAAATTTATCATGTTTTGATGAAACTTTAACTTGTATAGTAACTTGTACGTGTTAATTTTTATAACAAAACAATTATATATTTATAACAATTTCTGCAGACTCGAATTCTTAAAATAAAAATAATAACACAATCCGTAAAGGCCATACGAGTCACGGACTGATGAAGGTGCCAACGATTAATTTCAATCTTAATTAATCATTAATGTGTAGAATCCTCTTTATTGAACGTTTTGACTCACTTTGGAGTCCTCCTCAGCAATACATATGTGTAATTAATATGTTGAGTATTTCGTCAACATGAGTCACTTACAGGTTCCCGACTGTAGTGGATCCTTAAACGGAACATTCAACATGTTTCATGAGCTTTGTAAGTTTATATTAACAACAATTAAATCTGATCTTCATTATATACATTTAGTTAATTTCAGTCTCACATCTCCGAATAATGTAACGTGTTTGTCGAACATTTTATAATTTGTCTATTAAGATTGAAATTAATCGTTGGCACCTTCATCAGCCCATGACTCGTATGGCCTTTACGGATTGTGTTATTATTATTTATATATTTATATATATGTATAATACATATGAAACAACAAAAACAAAATTTCTTTTTAAGAAATATTATTGGTAAAAATAGGATATGTGAATCAATAAGGATAAATTAGTGTTTCTCAGAGAATATAAAATCAATATAAATAGTGACTACATACAAAATGCGATAGGACAATTATATCTGATGTTAAATCTATTAAAATTACGACTCTTTTAGCAATATGCAAGTTTTATATCGAATATATATTTTTCACAGAAATGTTTAGAGCTATATGTAAATTTTAGAGATGTTTATATTTTTCAAGAACATACATTAATGCAATTGGAGCATTAAAGAGAAATTAAAATTTTGATTTGATATCAGAATACTATATGTTTTACATCTGTCAAAAAGTGTCAGATCGCTCTTCAATTAAAATTTATTTTATTTAAATAAACGGATACTAAAATATATCCGTTTAACAAAATAAAATAACGAATATTTGTAAAAATTTTTTATATATGGTTGGTACATACATCTACTAAGAAAAATGGAAGTTCAATACGGGACAACGAATTGTACAAATGTAGGATTTTCTAAATGTAAACTATATTCGCATCCATATTGTGCAAAGACTTATGAGCAGACTCTTTGCTAATTTCAGATTTTATTTAAGTATTGTCAACAAAATTTTATATTCCTCTACTCAACATCTTCCTCTGCCATTTGGGTTTGCGATACTATTTTCTGTAAGAAAGCAAATTAAAAAAAAGAATGTTACCTCTCATTTCAATATTTTTTTTTTAATTAATTCATACCTGGCCAACAACGGGTAGTCGCTGCACCAGAATCTGGAAAATTGGTGGTGGTAGAGTCTTCTGGAGAACCGTCAGCAACTGGGCTGGCTGTCCACAGACTGCTACTGCATTAGCCAAATGCTCAACTCCGCCATCTATTTCACCACAAGCCAGCAATTCCTCCCCAAGTTGAACCTAAACAGTGTAATATATTACATATTTAAATACATTTGAGGCGTTGAGTAGCTCGGTGTTCGGTCCACGGACTAATAATCCGTCAATCCGTGGATCCAAGTTTGATGTTGTCTCATCTCTCCGCGCCTCATATATGTGACATGTGCAGGATTTTTCCTGCGTTTAAATAACGCTCAATCTATAATTAAGAATCCCAATTGCATTCTAAACTAAATAACTCTACCGATTATGCATTCCAGTGATTAAAAAACAAGTTTGATTAAATCTATGTGAGCTTAAAAGTTAGTTGATTCTGTGACACGATCTGGTTGTATTGCTTCCTTACACTCTGGAGGCAGGAGCCATTAAATAATAAGAAGTTTAAATACATTTTAAAGGATTAAAGCTAGATACATACACAATCAAAGTAACAGCAAGTTTTACCTCTTGCAGAAAGAATTTCTGCACCAATTCATGATCCCTCAAATCTGGCATCTTCGAGGAAGCTTTCTGAGCTTGTTTCTTAGCCTTTCTACCTATAAAATAAAAATAAAACCTTTACAGAGAATAAGAGCTATAAATTTATAGTCTCAGGCACGGCACAATGTTATATAGAGGAAAGAGAGGTAAGATGATATTTAATATTGATTATCTGTATAAATAAATCTTATCATATGCAATTCATTAATTTTTTCGTTTTTTATTTTTCTTTAATTGCATTCTTATATTATAGTATCAAAATAATATAAGAAGTGTTTATTACAATAAAACAACAAATCTTTTTATTTGTAAAAAGTACATTTTTGTCTTTCTGTAATCCATTATTGAAAGTCATTTCATCTGCATGTAGGAGCAAGATGACAAAATTGACATGTTCTTAAAAAATATAAGTTTAAAAAAATTCTAATTTATTTTATAACTTTTTAATTTTTACAAATGATAATCAAGACTGTAGTGAATCTGAAAAATATACATTATTCTTTTTACCTTATCACAAAAATTTAGAAAAATTAATAAACCTTAAGATCATTATCTTACCTCCCCTTTCCCCTATATTGATAATATATGTTTCTAATGCAATAATCAATATTAAAATGAAATGATTTTTAATATATAAATAGGATATATGTAAATGTACAAATGTATAAAATGGACTACATGATTGATGCAATATACGTTGTCAAGAGGAATTATACCTGTCTTTATCAGAGACATATTGATTTCTCTTAGAAACGTACATCACCACGAGGAAGTCACGCGTGCACGAGAATGAAAAATTAGAACTTACGTTCGCGGAGCTTCTTTTTGAAATCGGGATCATTGCGGCGCTTTTGGTCAAAGTAGAAACAGTAGCCAACAAAAATCCCGGCGATTCCAACAGCAATGCCGACTGCGGTTTTGGAAATCATGGTCATTCTAATACACAAAATCCTGATATATTACAGAAAATTCACGAGACTCTCGTCGCAACCTCGGCCATCATGGAAAAGGTTGCTTTCCATCACTTTTCCCATCGTGCGCACTGAACGTGCCCGCGAAACAGTTTGGATATCAGCGCCTCTATGTGCAAAAAATGTGCAACTACAAAGTACGTCACGAATACTTAACCAATAGGTAACACTCTATGGCCGGTATTCATAGTCAGATCTTATATTTAAGACCGTCTTAAGCTCAGCCTTGAGGCTATGATGAACCAATCAGAAAGCTGCATTAGCGTCTTGAGACATTACTTAAGACTGTCTTGAAATAAGAACCGATTAATAAATACCGACCTATGTCCAGTTATGTGTTAGTAGCAAATATTACATGCGTCCGTTTTTGTCGTACGACAAATTTTTCAAGCCTGTCGATTGGCTATAGAACAAAGAGGTTCGAGACCCTCTCTGTCTTGCAGCCAATTAACACGTTTGAAAAATTTATCGTACGACAAATCACCGACGAGATACTATTAAAGACCGTCAACCCTGGGTAAATTTTCGGCGGTATAAAAAGGGCCCCAAGGGCCCGGAGGTAATCGAAGAACGCTGACATTATCAACAATTGATATAAATTTGCTATTATTAACATAAATATTTGACTAATACATTATTAAATTCATGATATTTTATTACATAAATGCTCTATAAATAAATATGCATATTTGTAAAGCTATAATATCCTACATATTGCCGAAAAATTACAATTTTTTTCTCTGCAGTTATTATCTCTGTTGATAATCGAACTTTGACGATAACACTGAAATCACAATTTTAAAGAAAAATCGAGTATTATTGAGTTTTAAATGCACGTACACCAATAAACACGTCTACTAAACTAATAAATCATAAAATTAGTACAATATTATCAGTTTTTTTACTCTTAATCACTTCAATATTAACAAGGACGCGAACTCCCATAAGGATGTCGGTCTTTAATAATATCTCGTCGGTGGACAAATATAATATTAGCCTACTATTGGCCTAATATTGGCCTTATCCGTCGAAAATATTTGTGGTTATATAGTTCTATGTATGTACATACTGGGGCGCCAGTAAACGGATTTCATTTAAAATAACGTCCACTCTCTCTTCTTGCAGCCTGTTTTGCCTGTCAGCCTGTCTTCGTTTTGCTTCTCTTTGAAGAAGGGGGAAAGACAAGCGGAATAAACGAAATGCATGGATAAAACGGCGCGTATAATTGCATGACTAAAAATGAAAAACGAATAAATATATCAAACGGTTCGTTTCTTATAAAAACAATTTGTATATTTGCTTCATATTGTGTGTGAGCAAGTTAACAGGTATTTTGAAATATTTACAGATTGACGAAAGATATACAAGTGCCTTTGATAATTTATCAGGTGAATCTTTTGGCGGTAATTCGTGAACATGTCATTGATAAGGAAACCCATGCGATATGCTCATCAAGAAGGACACACAGATGTTTGCTATTATTCTGGCGAAAAGTAAATGACATCGTGTATATTATTTGTGTATATATACTGAATCTGTCACAGAAAGTTATTATTGAATGTGTCTGGGATTGTAGGAGAGGGCTCGTTACGTGTGGATGCGATGGGGACGTTAGATCCTGGTTAAATTTAATGGATGATGACCCGACCACCAGTTGTATTTCAGAACAAGCAATTACTGCTATTTCAAAGGTGTTTAATAGTTGCTAAGTATTAATGAGCACCTATACCTAAAGATCCTCTTCAAAAGGAATGCTGCATCAAGATGATGTTTAAAAGAGACAATATATTATATATAACAAAGCTTTAATTTCAGGATGGTAAAATTTTCGTAGGAAATGACAATAACACAGTACAAATACTTACTTATCCTGATTTAGAGAAGGAAGGAATAGTTACTAGATTTTCAGCACCAGTCTCAGCATTGGCAACAGCAAGAAATAGTAGTTTAATAGTATCTGGCGCCTGGTATGTAACGAGCAAATTTTACATTTATTATATGCATATATATATATATATATACAGTACTGGACAAAATAAAGTACGCACTCCAAACATTTTCAC